TCTCAAGTTGTTTCTTACCAGGCGATGGATTGGGGGAGCGAAGTGGGGGGGGGGGGGTAAACAAGACAACTAATAACTACTCTTTTGTCGCAGTGCAAAGGCAAGTGAAAAGAATCTTAAATGGCAATACGTGCGTATGATTAGGTGTATAGACGCCCATAACGCCAATGCAATGCAAGCAAACGTCATCAATAGAGCAACTTAATTGGGTTCCATTCTCATGAATTTCCCTCCCCATAAGCATCACAATCATGGAAAGCGGCAGAGATGTGAGTGTCTACCTATCATACCTCTCTTTTCGTTTTTGTCACTTAATTTCTGTTTTTTGATATTCTTGATTAAATTAATTTATATGGCTCATGTTGCAGGCATTACCACCTTTGTGTCAAAGATCGTTGACCTTCAAACTTTAAATTGTGTATTTAAATTTACCAATTTTATCCAAGTCTGTTTGACTGTTCAAGCACAAGGTCTGAAGAAATTTAAACAAATTTTTTAAACATAGTAACCCTCAAAATCGATACCATCATTTTTATTTAAAATGATATATTTTGACAAATATTGCTCCTTAGTCTCCATTTAAAAATTGTCTCCGTAACGTTTAGTAATGGCATAAAAATTAGTATAATATGATATTATAAATATAAAATATGCAATTTCGCTATTTTTTGCCACGATGAAAAATTAAGAACTCATTAAGTGATCGTGGGTAAGTTTACTAGTTAATATAATGACTATTTATAAGAATCACTGTTTTATTTAAAATTTTAATGAAAATTGTAATTTACCTCTATTGAAAACACAATCAAAATTAAAGTTTAATTAACCTAGAATAAATTATCAGAGTTGAATCTCCAGTTTTGCATTACGTGTATTTTACTCTTTACAAGTCTTTCAATTTTCATAGTTAACTTAATTTAATAAAGAGTAAGGCTGTTGTCTATCGTACCGCAAGTTAATCAAATTCAGTAAAGGTTGTGAAGTTGCTTGTTTAACTAAATAGTCTTGAACTTCGCTATCCATTTGAAACTTTTTATAAATACCATTTAATTTTAATTTTTCTATGTAAAGATTAGGCAATTATAAATCCTTTAATTTTCAAAACTAAAGTGATTATATGAACTTTCATTTTTATTAAAAATTTTAGATAAACCGTAAGAATATTTGAAATATAAAGTATTCAATGTTGACAGTTGGCATGCCTGCTCGTGTTTTTTGTGACTTTGAATTGATTTGAGAAAAAGCAACTATTTAAGATTTTATTTATATTAGCTAAACAAAATAGGTATTTACGTTTTAATCTCATTCAGAATTTTATTTTATGTTTCAACACCATAAGTCGAAAGTCAAGCGAACAGGTTCTGATATCCCCGATATCATCTATGAGCGAAGAATTGTAAGTTTATGCCTGTTTTGATCTGATCTCTTGACGTAGTAAAACGCTTTCTTAACTTCTGCTCATTTATACATATTTATCAGCCTGGAATATTATTAATTACTTTAAATCTTCCCGTCAGCTCAAGTACTTACCACCGGAATATGTTCATACGGTAAATCTTTAAACACCACACAATACAGCTAAAATTCTGGCCCATTCTAGTAAAATTTAATTCTGTTAACCACACGTGTTTAATACCCATAGAGCAATGCATTTCTCCCTCCTAACTCTTAAATGCCACTTTAAATCCCTGCTAAAAAAACTTTTCCCTTGGTAATGAATGGTGGGAGACTAATTTTATTTAATTTTTTCTCATCGCATGAATACGAATTGAATGAAACTTTTTGTTTAACTTGTAGGACTTTTCGGAAATGCTTGAAATATTTGACCAGATCGATCATGATCGAAAAGGCTATATCACAAGAGATGAGCTTGCAAAATACTTCAGAAGCCATTTAATAGCAGAATCAAATGTTGATGTAAGTACCTATTTTCAATCAGTTCATGATAAATTCTATCATTATCCCCCGTGACATGGCAAAAAATTGAAACGTCTGGGGGAATTAAGTGGAAGAATTTGAAATCGACTTACAAAGCATGACTGGTATAAAAGAAGAGAGAATGTTTAGGACATCCGTGGATTAATGTTTTACCTCATTATCCGATACACATCTTCGATCTTCGTCCCATTTTCTTCATGCCTCATATTCAAATATTACGATATTTAAATTTCACAACATGTCTCCCCAAGTGGATTCATACCCACTACATTCAGACTCTATTCACAAGTTGACTAATCTATTAGATTGGTCAGGACATTCCAGTTTTGTGCTGATAAAGGTAATAACGGGGTTAGTGGTCAGAAATGCCTTTTTGATAACAGAGCTCGCTGTTGGTCTCCAAAAGGATGCTTTGAAATTAGTTTACTAAAACAAAATAATTGCAATATATGCCAACCATTTGAACATTTTAACTAGCATGAAGCGATTTTTTTGTAAAAAAACATATGCCAATAGTATATCCAAAATGTTTGATTAGTTATTTAACAAATGACTGATTCATTTTTACATCTAGCTTGCCTCTGTTGACAAGTACAGCTTTGAAAAATACTATCTTCTAATTTCAAATGAATGAGGAAATAATTTTTTGATATATAAGCAATTACAAAGGCAATATACATTCGTAGACATTAGATTAACTATTAGTAAAAGTTTCAACTGAAGCATTAGCATTAAAAAAACAATATTTTAGCTAGAGGTTTTCTACTGATTAAAAGCTTATTTAAATATCTAAATAAAAAATATATATTTGACAAATCGTATTATCACTCAAAATATTTTTTATTTATTAAATTAATCGATAATTATTTAATATCATTTATTTTTGGCTCTTCATTAACCTTTGATCGAAAAGCGCCCACCCTGTCAATTAAGGCGACCATTTTACGACATCTTCCTTTCACTCCAGTGGTTGTTACGAACGCTGACCAATTATTGCGAAGCACTGAGCCCTATCCGTTGATTTATGTTTACCTGTGGGGTGTTTAAATTAAGACAAATTTAATTATGCTTTTAATGCACCTCAATCTCTCCTTAATAACGTGAATAAAAGCCCCATATTACCTAGAGCCTCTTCTTTGTGCAACCTGAGCCATGATCTTAGATACGGTGCATGAGGAGTTTGAGGCAATAGATACGGATCACTATGGATTCATAACTAGGGAATCTCTTGAGAAATACGTTAAAAGGAATAAATTTGACCCGGAGTTAGTTGACGTGAGTTGCCTTATTTTTGGACAAAATGAATTATTTTTAACTTCAAAAAGACGATTAACTCAGCTATTTACTATTATTATTCGGCAGAATATGCTAAATATCAGGCATATCTGTTATCTTTGGCTATTTTGGAGGGCAATTTAATTAAAAGTACGCGTATAAGTTCTTTCACTGATTAGACTTTGAACTCCCTTGATTCCTAGTTCATTATTATTCGTCATTGAGTTGTTAACGATAAGTATTATTTACATCGAAGGAAAAACTCCCTATTTGTGTCAACAAGTGCTACAAGTCACTCTCAGTTGTAGTTCCTTCAAAACCTTCAAAGTAGAATTGAATATAAATCGGATTCTAAGAGTTAAACATAGTACTGTAAGAACCAAGTGGAAGCATCCACCATTGGAACTTTAAAAATTTGCATTTTTCTTTTCCATTCTTTTCCATTGTCCTGCCAAATTCAATATATTTAGGCTTCACCAACAAGCTTCAATCTAATATGATGGGTAAATTAATATCAAGCATATGTTATGGCAACCTACTACATGTTGAGAGCTATGTTCCATAGATTAACCATAATTCAATAAAAAATACGAAATTGTTTTATTGATTTGCAGAAATGGTTCCAATGGTTTGAAGGTGACGTAAAGGGAATCATTACAATTGAAGATGTCTGCACAGTTCTAGGCATCCCAATGCGAGAAGAATACGCGTGAGTCAAATTATCGCGATTTACTTTTAACAACGGATTCCAGCATCTGTGATCTTTGGTATTCTACAGCGTTACATCAATTTACCCTGGGCTCCAGCCCATTCATCATCAATTAGATGCTACAAATTATAATACACTAATGTATTTATTAATTATCTTCCAACCTAATCAAGCTAATCGGCACCGATTCTCTGCTATTTTAGGAGGAAAGTAGAAAAGAAGAGAAAAATGATTCACGAAGGCATAGTTCCGATTCCAGTTGAGGCTAAACCAATATTTGCAGCTCCTCCACCCGCCCCTACTTCAACTCTGGATGATGTGGAAATTATTCACAACAACGCAATACCTAAGGAAATGTTAAACGCCTGTATCCGTCTTGTCAAAGAGAACTCGCATGGTTCATTGCAAGATTCCGATATAGCACAACTTTTGAAGGAGCATATGGATCAGCATTACAGCAAGCACTGGGTCACTGTAGTGGCTACTTCAACTATCGGTGCTGCTATCTCACATGAACAGAATGGTTTCATTCACTTTCGATACAAAAATCGTGTGTGTCTTCTTTATCGCATTCCTGATAAAAGGTCGTTATAAGACGCCTCATCACATTCCACCCTCCCCCCCCCTCCCTCGCACACACACACGCACAAACAACCATACACTTTATCATTTTACAATTTATATTAATTTAAAATACATATTTCATTCCATTCATTTTGCTATTTTTTCAAAAGGAATTTCGAATTGCTGAGTTTTTTTTTCAAGTGCATGACACACTTTCAATTTAATGCTAATTAATTCAATTTACATTAGACAAACTAACAGTAAACAACAACCACACCAGTGGATATTTTATACAAGAAAATGAAGACTAAATTGAATATGCACTAATTTGCATTATGTTTTCGAAATATCACTCTGCTATAAAATCTAATAAGTTGGTTATTTTTAAGTTTCCTATTGAGATGGAAAGATATTTGTGCGTTGAGGGTTTCATATGGAAATCAGATTCCTCTTAGCAACGATTCCCCCACCACTTTTTATGACAGCTCTTCCCTCCATTATTACTTCCATGACCGGTTCTTGGTGGTTCTCGCATCGATCTATGCGCGTAATTTCGCGACATCCCTTCAGCATATTTGAACTTAAGCGATTGGCTTCCTAACTTAGCATATTATTGGCCACAATCATTTCTCTTTTCCTGGCAAAACAATGCGAGCAAGCGTCATTTTGACACAGTAAATAAGTAGCTTGAACTCACAAACTGATCACCATGGTGGTATCTACAAGTTGACGGCAGGGGCGGAGGAATGGGGCTTAGGTGAGCTTAAGTAGTTTATTTCCGTCAAATGATTCCTAGTATAAAAGGATAATACAAAGGGTAAGAGGAACTCGACGTAAAAGTTGATGGTTATTGTATACCCACTTAAAGTAGCATCCGATCAAATTTGAATTACAACAATAAATTGCCTGTATCGGCTATTTGTACTTTCAATGGACAATTGAAATTCCTACACCCACCCACCACATGAGGACAGGCATACTTATTTTGTATACCATAAAAATTGTTGAAAGCAGACACTTTCAGTGCTTGCTCTGGGTGATTCACAAACTCAGTCCCGTAGGAAAATAATGCCCATTGGTTGGTGAAACTGGAAAATGTAAAGGCCCATAATATCCAATGAGAGTAAAACCTAAAGTCACACTAGAATTTTTAATTTGCATAGTTTTACTTAAATTGGTTGTGTAGTTTATATGCATGAAATCTAGATAATATTCATGAATGACTTAAAATTTAAAGATTTCTTCTAATCTAATTATTTTAGTTAGTATGAGTAGCTGGCAAATGAACTGAGTTCATTTTAAACCAATAAGATGCCTCATTTAAGTCATCTCGTTTGTTATCTATGAGAAGGCACTTTTATGTTTTTTTTACTAAGAACTGAGGCTTTTCATTGGCCTTGAAATAATAGGCTGTAATGTGCATCCAATTTCACTTAAAGGTTTAAAGGTTATTGTGGGTCATTTTCCTGGAAACGAATAGTTAAAATAGTTTCGACTTTTAAAATTTTTCAGATTCATAATGCCATCCAAGAAGTATTTATTTTCTGAAAGGTGTTTTTCGTCAAGAAAAGAAATTCCAGGACTCCGATTGTGAGTCACAAATGCAAACCTCACACTGATGATCAATGAGGTCAGTCATTGTGCCCTCATCCCTCCTCGACCTCTCCCAGTTAACTGGCAGATCTCCAAATAAATTCTTCATTTAGACTTAGCAGAAAATAGAGAGGTCTATCCAATCACAATTTCCCACTATACTTTAATGGCAAAAATCGATTGGCTTCGCAAATATGTTATAACTATTAATTCAGTCTGATAATGATGAAGTGATCGACTTGCTTGTCTATTCGGTCAGAAGTTTCTTGATTCATGCTCATCCGTGGTAAATCTAGACAAACAGTCTTGTTGGAACAGTTTAACTAAATTATTTCTAGAATGTTTATTATTTCAAATGGCAGGCTTTATGATATTTATCATAAGCCCCTTAGTTGATTTCAGCTTTCCCCATGGGGGGTATATATATAACAGTTAATTAGTTGTCTTCTGGCTTCCCAGTATCTCTGTGTCTCCGTCGTTATCTTTAGGGCTGGACACAGAATCAGGTGGGTCTTCTCCATTTCATAGGGCTGGACACAGAATCAGGTGGGTCTTCTCCATTTCCCCCTGTAGGTTACACAGGGTGCATGTTGGTTGAGTGCATACTCCTAATCTGTGAAGGTGTTTTGTCAGACAATCGTGTCCGTTACGCAGTGTAAGCTCTGCAACAGCTTCGATTCTCTGTATACTCCCAATCTGTGAAGGTGTTTTGTCAGACAATCGGTGTCCCGTACGCAGTGTAAGCTCTGCAACAGCTTCGATTCTCGGCCAGTCGGCTATGTCGGAGAGTGCCACTGTCCACTGTTTCTCCTTTGTTCGAGCTTTAAGTTTGTTGTATTTTGATGTTTTGAATTTTTAGAATGTGGGTTCCTAGACAACAGTATACCCTCCCTCCTTCCGTTGAATCCCATTCTAATAATATTGGAAGATTTGTTATGATATGTTAAATGCTGCTTGTTTGTGCCTTACTGCCATTAGGAGAAGATGCATATGAAATGCAAGTTTTTTTGCATATACCAAGCTGCGGCTCTTCAACTTTTAAAATTTGAGTGGCATCATCATCCAGTTCTTTGACCTTGGTGCCTTCAAGTAACAGCTATCTACCACTCTCAGAAGAATGAATTTTGAAGTGGAATACGATTACAATTTAATCCTGTGCAATCACTTCTAATGGCGGATTATGTTCTAGAATTATAGCACTCAAGGAATACACGTGCGATATAGAGAATCGAGATGGAGAGTACAAAGGGGGAGGGTGTACAAACAAAATTAGCTATACAAATCACGCAAGTTTTCCGTGTTGGATTCAAGAAACAAACATGAATTAAGTGCTCGAATGTCAATATTAGAAAATTATGACATATTATTGACGAAACAGAGACAGGAGATCGGTGGAGAGAAATGAAAGCTTCAAAAAAAGTATCTTTCTGGTTTACTAATTACTGCATCAATTGAAAGTCCTAAAATATAACCAAAACATCTAGAAAATGACAGCCTTCTGCCCCTCCCCTCTCAGCTCCCTTATTTGCTTTCAGTCATAATATGTGTTTACGAACTTGCTTGAAAGCTAAGTTTAAGCCCACCGCTAATTTGCAATCGATGTAAATCATGAAGCAAAATTTCGTTGTCAGTGAATAGTGCTAAGAATGTATATTCAAACGCATTGTTATGATGAGATTTAACACTAACGAAAAATCAGCATATGGCGAATAAGATTATCTACAGCTACGTTGAAACAGGTTGTCAATTTAAGATGCTGTATCTTGAATGCCGAGCAATACCACCATCAAGATCAAGATCAAGATGATTGAATTTTTCCCAAAGGAAAGGGTAGGAATTTGTATTAGTCAAATTATTTTTTACTATAATTAGACTGTTTTAGGTATGGATAAATGAATGTATTCGATTAATCGAACGTATATCATGCTTAAATTTATTGTATTGGGTTGGCAACTAAGTCATTGCTGTTTTTGTTGACGGATTCACTCTATACTTTCTATTGTTTTGTTAACGTGGCCAGAGCATCTAACCTATATTTTTTCTTACTGTATGGGCTTCTAGGTTAATTTGTAAAA